GGGAGGCGTGAAGGGTGACTCCACTCAGAGTAGACCGCTCGAGGCTGCGTCGCACCGGCCTCGGGCTGCGCCCTCGGACGGTACTCCTTGCCCCTCGGGTCTACTCTTCACTGGAGAACTCGCTCAAAACCTAAGATTTATCCCTGGGCTTACCCCAGAGCTGCTCTTAGGGACCGCTCGCGCGCGCGGCAGCGCGATTCGCCTTGAGCGCCTTGCAGATGGCCTTGTGATCGGGCCAGTCCTCCTTTTGGCACGCGGCCGAGCAGTAGTACATGGTGAGGCAGCGCGCGCACCGCTTCAGCGCGACGTCCGCGCCCCCGTAATCCCATTTGCCGCACTTCGCGCAGCACTTCTCCGCGTCAAAGTCGGCGCCGACGCTCGCTCGCAGCGTCTGTTTCAGGTCGCCTTTGACTTTGCCCGGGTGGTGCTTCATGTTCTGCTTGAAGACCTTCTCCTCGTCTCCCGTCTCCGCGCCGCGCATGGTCTGGATCGCCTCCTGGCCGCCGTGGTAAAGCTTGGACATCTCGGTGATCTCCCCTTGCGTTTTCTCGACAACAGCGAACTGCATCCGCGAGAAGTCCGCCGGCGGGGGCCCGCGCTCGAAGGTCGACCGGTGGACCCGGCTCTCGAAGGCTTCGGCGAGGCGTCGCGCCTCGCGCTTCTCGTTGTCGCCCTGCGCGGTCCGGCCGTGCGCCGCGAAGTCGCGGAGCTGCTCGCGGCCGATGTCGAGAAACGTCGGGATGCGGTACTCGACGCGAGACCCGCCGCGCTCGTCGTAGGTCTGGACGAGCTCGCGCATCTTGCGGATGAGCACGCGCCGCGTGTACGCCATGGGGTTGGTCGCCCACTCGTCGCTAGCGAGCGACGGCAGCATCACGCCCTCCTTGAAGCCGGGCGGCAGCGCGCACCCGTTCTGCATCAGCAGGAGGAACATGAGATGGTAGCCTTTCCCGAATATGGGGCGCTCGCCGGTGCTGTTATCTCGGATAATAGCAAAGGCCGTGCTGAACTCCAGAAGCTTTCCAAAGTGGTGTTCGATCTGTCGGTGCGCGTCCGTCGCGGCGCGCCAGCAAGCGAAGAACTCCGCGTAATCGTCCGCCGTGTGCCGACAGATATGGATCTTGCTTCCCTCGGGGAGCCGTTTCGCCTTCGAATCGAGCGCGTCCTTAAATTGCTCCATCTGGCCTGCCACACGCAGGAGCGGTCCGCTGTCGTAGATGACTTCGCACGTGCCATCTTCGTGGAGCGCCAAGGCGACCATCTTGTCGTGCTTGAACCGCTCCGCGTAGTTCTCCGGGCCGAGGCCTAGGCCGACGAGCATCTGCATCGCCGTCTCGATGGTCGAGTCGCCCTGAATAAACTCGGCGCCCCCCCACGGCGCCATGGCCGCGTCGCGCACCGGCTTTGATCTGCTTGTGCCACAAGCCGCGGTCGCTCGGCGACCAACTTGAACCAAGGAGCGGCCTTCCCGTAAAAATTTGCCAGTGCCGCAAAAAATCAATCAGACGCCTAATCAGGCCTGGCCGTGCCTTCCCGTGGCTCTCCCTACGCCTCTCCTCGCCGTTCTCCCACCGTTCGATTCCTCCCTGTGCCACGGCAATAAGGCAATACAGGAGTATTAGGACGGCAAGACCCCTCGGTGCCCGAAAGAGCAAGCCTCTACCGACCCCCTCCTACTTCCCCTTCTTGCCGGCGCCGAAGAGGGTGCCGATGCCGGCCTCGACCTCCTTCTGCCGCGCCTCGGACATGCCGGAGACGAACTCGGCGTCGTTGGCCCGCGCGGGCTTGCCGCGCGCGGCGGCGGCGCCGCGGCCGCGGGCGCCGCGCGCGGGCGCCTTCGGCGGGACGACGAGCGCCGTCTTCTTGCCGTCGGGCGTCGTCGCGTAGGCCCAGGGCGGGAAGAGGTAGGGGTTCTCGACGCGGTCCGGGATGCCCGCGACCTTGAAGAAGTCGACGCGGCGCGGCGCGGCCGCGTTGCCCAACAGGTGCGTCGCGAGGAACTTCTCGACGGCGACGTAGGTGTCGAAGGACCGGCGGCTGTTGTGGCCCCCGAGGGGCTTGAGGAGGTGGACGTCCTTGCCGCCGTAGGCCGCCTCGATGGCGTCGCTGTGGTCGGGCTTGATGAAGTCGTCGTCGCGGCCGTGGATGAGGAGGAGCCTGGGCAGGAAAAGGGTGCGAAATTCCCAACTTCAAAGGCTCCTAGCTCGGCCGATTTCCACTCGTTTCGGCTGATTTTTGGACGAGCGATCATCTCTCGGAGCGCTCTCGAAGCGTGGGTGCTATATTTGAAACGCGCGCGCGCGGAACACTCACGTTGAAGCGACGTTGAATCACCCTTGTCCTGCCCTGGGAGGAGCGGCGCGGCCATCGCGTGGACCTTCTTCGCGGGGTTGCACTTGAGGATGTCGAACTGCGTGCGGTACTTGACGGACTTGCGGACCTTGCGCACGGCGAGCGCAACGGCGCCGTCGGGGATCGACGGCGCGGCCTTGTGGACCTGGGCGGGACAGGGGTGCTTCGACGTCGCGTCGACGCGGGCGCGCCGCGCGCGCGCGTTCCGGAAGATCACGCGCCGAGGGATGGTCGCTCGTCCGAGCATCGGCCGAAACGAGCGGGACACGGCCGAGCGAGGAGCCTTTCAAAGTCGGTCGCACCCGTGTCCCGCCCCGTCGCGGACGAGGTCGTAGCAGAGCCGCTTGATGTTGACGAAGGGCGAGTCGGCGACGACGCAGGCCGCGTCGGGCGCCTTGCCCGACGCGTAGAGCAGGGCCGTCACGGAGCCCATGGACCGCCCCCAGAGGCCGTAGCGGTTGAGGCCGTAGTCGCGCTTCAGGTGGTCGACGACGGCGACGACGTCCTCGGCCTCGTAGAGGCCGAGGCTGATGTACTCGCCGTCGGACGCGCCGGAGCCGCTGCAGTCGATGGCGCAGACGCTGAGGCCCAGGCCGCAGCAGAGGCTCAGCGTCGTGCAGGCCTCGACGCGGCAGGACGCGTTGCCGTGGAGGTAGACGAGCGTCGGCGAGTCCGCGAGGGGCAGCTTTTCGTCGTAGAGAAGGCACGACGCGCGGCGGCCGACGACGGCCTGCGTGACCTCGGACGGCCCCGCGGGCCGCCAGAGGCTGCAGGCGACGCGGAGGCCCCGCGCGTTGGCGACGAAGAAGTCGTCGCGCACGTAGGGCGGCGCGCGGGCGCCGCGGGCCGCGCCGTAGGCGAAGGACGCGGGCCCGAGCTGGCGGACGTCGTACTTGGCCCGCGGCGGCCGGATGATCATGCCCAGGACCTGCTCGTAGGCCCGGCGGATGCTCAGGAAGAGCTGGGGCTCGAAGGCGCCCCGCGCCAGGTCCACGTGGAACTCGTTGCGCGCGCGCCGCGGCGTGTCCGGCGTCGCCGGCGTCGCCGTGGGCTCGAGGTCGTCGCGGTCGTCGTCGTCGACGGGCGCGCGGCCCTCCTCCGCGTCGAGGCGCGCGAGCAGCTCCTGCGTCGCGCTCAGGTCGCTCCACCAGGCGCTCATGTCGTCGAGGCTCGCGAACCGGAGCTTGAGCACGCGGCCGCCGTAGCAGAGCTCGAGCACGGGCGTCTCGCGCCCGTGGATGCGGCTCACGTCCGCGTGGACGTCGCAGCGCCGCAGCTCGAGCCAGCCCCGCTTGTCCCGCCGGCCCTCGTCGCCGAACCAGCGCAGCCGGTCCACGTCGAGGTCCAGGAAGCAGCTCGTCGAGTACTTGACGCCGAGCACCGCCGCGACCTCCGTCACCGGGCCGTGGCGCGCGGGCCAGGCCCACTGCGGCCGCGGGTTGATGGACTTGCCGATGTCGTCGCCGTCGTCGACCCGCGCCGGCAGGCACACGAGCATGGGGCCGCACGACATGCTGCGACGCGCGCGAGAACTGTGGCTGTGAGATGCTCTCGATCACCTGGGGCTGCCCCGAAATCCAATTGCCAAACGGCAACATAACTGCAACAACTAGGTTACTTAGTAGCTCTTAACGATGTGCCCTGACTGGAGCGGCGCTCGACGGCTGCCCGGGATGATGGGCTAGGTCGGAGAGCACGGCGGTGGGCCGGTAGCTCGAGGCAGAGATGCGGCGGGCCGCGCCCACCCGCGTGGCGTAGCGCATGCGCCTCCTCGTGATCACCTGCGTCGTGGCGCTGGCCGCGAACCCGACGCCGGCGCCGTCGCCGCCGCCGAGCCTCTCGCCGGCGCCGAGCTACGCTACTCCGTGTCCCAGTGGCCTGCCGTCGCCGGGTCCCAGCGGCCTGCCGTCGCCCGCCCCGAGCGGCCTGCCGTCGCCGATGCCGTCGCCCGCGCCGACCGCGCTCCCGAGCGCCGCGCCGACGTGGCCGTTCCCCAGCGCCGCGCCGTCGCCCGCGCCCGCGCCGGCGCCCTCGGGCGCGCCGACGTCCCTCCCGTCGACGTCGGCCGCGCCGTCGTCCCTCCCGACGTCGGGTGCGCCGTCGTACGCGCCGTCGGCGGCGCCGTCCTCGACGCCGCGGCCGTCGGCCATGCCGAGCCCGGCGCCGTCCGCGCTGCCGACGACGCCGGCGCCGAGCCCCGTGCCGTCGACGGCCCCGCCGAGCTCGACGTTCGCGCCCACGGGCACGCCGAGCCTCACGGCCGCGCCGACGTACGCGCCGACGGCCGCGCCGTCGCCCGAGCCGTCGCTCACGCCGGCGCCGAGCGGCGCGCCGACGGCGCCGCCGTCGCCGACGCCGACGCGGACCTTCGCGCCGACGCGGCTCCCGACGCCGGGCCCGACGATGTCCCAGGCGCCCACGGCGCCCGCGAAGGTCGAGATCAGCGTGGAAATCAACCACTGGTTTGGGACGTGCTGACAAAACTTTGAAATTCTCTCGCTCGGTTAAATCGAAGTCGATTCGGCGGTTTTTTGGACTGATCGATTGCTCTCATCGAGTTCTCGAAGCACAGCGGAAGAGTAAACTGTTCGATTTCGCGCACATTGAAGTCGGGTTGAAGATTTGATTTCCGCGAAGGTCGAGATGACGTTCGCGTGGTCGCTCGTGCTGCGCAACGCGACGGCGGCGGCGGTCAACGGCGACGCGGACGCGCTCGAGAACGTCAAGGGCGTCGTCAACGACGTTTTAGCCGGCGAGTTCCGGCGCAACGTGCTCAAGGCCGGCCTCTCCGACGCGGCCGTCGCGCCCTTCTGTGTGGAAATCAAATCTTCAACCCGACTTCAATGTGAGCGTATGCGACGGTTTCGACGCAACTTGTTCTGATCTTCGTAGAGAACTCGACGAGAGCGATCGATTCGTCCAAAAATCAGCCGAATCGACTTCGATTTGACCGAGCTAGAGATTTCTGAAGTTTGGCCCCGACGTCCCAGCTCACTGGTTGATTTCCACACAGGCGCCCTTCTACTTCCCGGACCCGACGGCCGCGCCGACGGCGACGCCGCGGCCCACGGCGCCGCCGAGCCCCGACCCGTCGGCCGCGCCGTCGTCGTCGGCGCCGTCGCGGCGGCCGACGCACTCGCGGCCGCCGACGGCCGCGCCGACGGCGCGGCCGTCGCCCGCGCCCACCGCCAGCGCGCCGCCGACGCCGATGCCGAGCCCGGCGCCGACGGGCTGCCCGTCGCTCTCGCGGGCGCCGACGGCCATGCCCTCGCCGTGTCCGACGCGGCGTCCCGCGGCCGCGACGACGTTCGAGAGCCTTCGACCGGGGGGGACCCGACGAAACGTCGTCGCCGACGCGCGCGCGGTAGGTCCGACGTCCCTCCCGTCGCTCTCGACGCCGCCGAGCCCGCAGCCGAGCCCCCAGCCCACGGCCATGCCGTCGCGCGCGCCGTCGGCCGCGGCGACGCGCGCGCCGAGCCCCCGGCCGAGCCCCTCGCCCAGCGCCGCGCCGAGCCCGCTGCCGAGCCCCGCGCCGAGCGCGCTGCCCGTCCGGCGGCGGCGCCTCCTCACCGTCGCCAACGTCAACGCGTCCGCGCCGCGCGCCGCGAACGGGACCGGCGCGCCGGCCGCGGCGCCGGCGCCGACGCGCGCGCCGACGTCCGCGCCGACGCGGTGCCCGACGGCGAGCCCCGCGCCGACGACGAACTGGACCTGGGCGCCGTCCGCGGCGCCGAGCGCCGCGCCGACCGCGCGGCCGTCCGTGTCGCCGCCGCCGAGCCCCGCGCCGACGTCCGCGGCGCCGAGCCTGCCGCCCACGGGCTCGTCGCCCTACGCGCGCTTCGGCTTCTCCTTCTTCAAGAGCGAGAAGATCGAGGGCGCGACGGAGCGGTCGCCGGACGTCCAGCGCCTGGCCGCGGAGCTCGCGAACGAGACGCTGGACGCGCTCGTGGCCCTGCTGCGCGAGTCCGTCGACGAGGGCAACTTCGACCAGCGACTTCGGAACCGGGAGACCCAGGTACGGAACAGCGTCTTGCATCCGCGACGATGGTCGAGGGGTTGGAACGACGAACAATCGGTAGGTCTGGAAGCGGGCGCGGCGCCACACGGCGCTCGAGCGCGCGGCCGTCGAGTACGGCGAGACGATGGCCGCGCTGGACGGTGCGCGCGTCGACCTATTCCTCGTGACGAGCCCGCCGACGATGCTGAGCCAGTACCCGACGGCGCTGCCGACGCCGGACCCGTCGGCGCCTGTGTGGAAATCAAATCTTCAACCCGACTTCAATGTGCGCGTATGCGACGGTTTCGACACGAGCTCTTCTGCCGTGCTTCGAGAGCTCGACGAGAGCAATCGATTCGTCCAAAAATCAGCCGAATCGACTTCGATTTGAGAGTTCTGAAGTTTGGTGGGGAGCCCCCAAACCAGTGGTTGATTTCCACACAGGTCGGCGCTCCCGACGCCCGCGCCGCAGACGCCGTCGGCCGCGCCGACGGCGACGCCCGCGCCGTCGACCGCGCGGCCGTCGACGAACGACTCGCGCGTCTGGCTCGACGCGGACGGCGACGACGAGCCGACGCCCGAGGAGATCGCCGCCGCCCTCGGCTACGGGTCCCTCATCGGCGCCTTCCTCACCATGGGCTTCTGCTTCCTCTTCCGCCGGGCCACCGCGGGCCTCAAGATCTTCCCCGACGAGAAGGAGCTCGACTTCGACGCGATCTAAGCGACGGCTGTGTGGCGGGGTGTGGCGGCGTAGGGCGCGTGTGCGCGCGCGTCTTTGGACGCTGGCGCCGGCCAAGGCGGCGGCTTGAAGTTCACACCGTAAGGGGGCTTTGAATGCAACATCGCACCTCTGCCCGAGCGTCTGGCGCCGCCAAAAGCGACTGTTTAGCTCAGGCATGCCGTCACGGGTGCTGAAGAAGCTCTCGAAGGGCGGCAGCGTGCGCAAGGGCCTCCACCTCTATTCTGCCGACCGCGAGGCGCGCAAGGCCATGCGCGCGGCGCTCTTGACGGAGCGCGCGATGCAGCAGCGCAACGACGGCGGCTCGGGCTTCGGCAGCACCATCGGCGCGCTCAACGCGGCGTCGAAACGCGCGACGGGCGAGAGCGCCATGGACCGCGTCGAGGTCACGGGCGGCACGGCCGTGGCCGTCTCCTCCGCGCTCCTCGGCGCGGTCTGCGCCGAAGGCACCGCCGCGGACATCGGCGCCCGCGTCGCGGAGGGCCGGCGCGAGGTCGCGGCCTGCGGCCAGGCCGCCGCGTGCGACCAGGACTGCGCGACCTTCGTGGCGCTCGCCGTCGAGGGCGCGCCGCTGCTCGCGGAGATGCGCGCCCGCACGGCCACGTACCTCGCGACGTCGGCGGACAAGCCGGCGAAGTTCCACGGCAAGAAGAAGAAGAAGGCGGACGGCTCGTTCGTCACGAAAGACGAGCAGCGCGCGTCCTCCCGGAAAAGCAACGCCGCATACCACGAGCGCGGCGGCCGCGGCGTGGCGGACGGCGACGAGGCGGAGAACGTGCGCCAGATGGAGGGCGAGATCCAAAGGCAGGCGCGAAAGAACAGACGCAAGGAGATCAAGAAGCGCGAGGAGCGGCGGGGCATGCCGCCGTCGGCCGTCGGCGCGCCGCCGCGCGCCGCCGTGCACGCGGCGCTGCACCGCGACGTCAGCTACTTCCAGGGCTCGGCGCCGGGCAACGCCGAGGGCAACCCCGTCCTGTACCGCGCGCGCATCAGGAAGGGCACCTACAAGGGCAAGTTCGCCATCAACCGGGACGCCGGCAGCATCTACCACAACAAGCAGGTCTTCGAGACCGAGGCCGCGGCGATCGCGGCGCTCCCGGCCGCGCAGCGCCGCGCGTAGGACCCGCCGCCTCGCCACGCGCGCCACGGCCCAAGCCGGCCCCGCGCGACCCCCACGCTCCGCTTCGCGTTGACGCGTAACATGTGACACTGTGGTTACTCGGACCCCTTCCCGACGCGTCGACGCGTCGAGGACGTCGGCCGCCGGCGCGTCGGCGGCTCCGCGGACAACAACCGCCCGAGCCTCTGAGGAGATCGCCGCCGCGCTCGGCTACGGGTCCCTCATCGGCGCCTTCCTCACCATGGGCTTCTGCTTCCTCTTCCGCCGGGCCACCGCGGGCCTCAAGATCTTCCCCGACGAGAAGGAGCTCGACTTCGACGCGATCTAAGCGCCGGCTGTGTGTGTAGCGACGCCGGCGGTTACGCGGGTCGGCTCCGGGGGCGCTTCTGCTTCGCGGCCGGCCTAGAACTGGGGCGCCTTGCCCGCGAGGGCGTCGTCGTACCACTCGTTGACCTGGTTCCAGTTGACGATGTCCCAGAACGCGGCGACGTACTCCGGGCGGCGGTTCTGGTACTTGAGGTAGTAGGCGTGCTCCCAGACGTCGAGGCCGAGGATGGGGATGCCCTCCGTCGCCGCGCCCTTCATGAGCGGGTTGTCCTGGTTCGGCGAGTTGCAGATCGCCAAATCCTTGCCCTGGACGATGAGCCAGACCCAGCCGGAGCCGAACGTCGACGCGGGCGCGCCGAGCGCGGCCCACTCCTCCTTGAGCTTGTCGAGCGACCCGAACTTCTTGTCGATGGCCGCGGCGAGGGCCTTGGACGGCGCGCCGCCCTTGCCCGCGGGCGCGAGCGCCTTCCAGAAGAGGTCGTGGTTGTAGACGCCGCCGCCCGCGTTGTTGAAGCCCTTGGCCTTGGCGTCCTTCATGAGCTCGGCGATGGGCGGCTGGTCCTTCTCGTCGAGCTTGCCGTTGATGCCCGCGATGTAGGTCGCGTGGTGCTTGTCGTGGTGGAACTTCATCGTCGCGGCGTCGATCGACGGCTCGAGCGCCGCGTAGTCGTAGGGCAGGTCCGGCAGCACGTAGGCGACGGCGGGGCCCGCGGCGGCGGACGCCAGGGCCGCGGCGGCGCCGCTCACGAAGGACCGGCGGCTCGGGGGCTGGGCCGTCATGGACATGGGGTGGCGCAGGGCCAGGGCCGGGGCGGCGAGGAGGAAGGCGTAGGACGGCATGCTTGAGACCTGCGAGGCGGGGGGCGCGCGTGAGGTTTTCGCAGGTGGCGCAAGGCGCGCGTCGCGAGGGCGCGCATCGGCGCGCGCGCGGGTGCCGGACGCCGAAACGCGACAGTGGCAGGCGGTGCTTCAGCTGATCAGAAGTCCAATGATTTCCAGGTTCAAGCTGGTCGTGCCGCGATGTATCCGCCGACGCTGCCCCACTCTCAGCCCGCAGTAACGCTGGTGCACGCCAAGAGCCCGCTCTCCGCCGGTGACCGTCGTCAAATACCTCACGTCGCGCACGCCGCGCCAGCCCGTCGCGGCGCGCGCGAACCGGCATGAAGAAGTCCATCGCCGACAACCTCCTCGAGGAGATGGCGGCGACGGGCGACGCCACGGCCCAGGCCGAGCTCGGGAGCCGCTTCAGCCGGGACGTGGGCATCGGCCAGGAGCGCGACGACGCCGCGGCGACGTCCTGGTACAAGGCGAGCGCCGAGAGCGGCCACGTCAACGCCCAGCACAACTACGGCGTCATGCTCGAGCGCGAGGGCAAGGCGTCCGCCGCGCTCGTCTGGTACCAAAAGGCCGCGGACCAGGGCCTGCCGTCGGCCATCTTCGCCCTGGGCCAGCTCTGGTACACGGGCTTCCACAACGACGCCGGCCGCTTCGTCCGCGACGTCGAGAAGGCCCTCGGCTACTTCGAGAAGTCCGCGGACGCGGGCTTCACGCCCGCGGCCAAGTTCGTCGAGCGCGCCAAGTGCGAGGTGTAAGATCGGAGGGCTTTTAGGCGCCGCGCTCAGATGACGAAGACCTCGATCTGGAGGTGGTGCGTGAGCACGCCGAGCGCGACGGCCGCGGCGCCGACCGCGGCCGCGGGCAGCGCCGCCGCCGCCGCGCCCTGCCACGCGGGCAGGGGCGCGGCGAGCGCCGCGGCCGCGGCCGCGGGCGCGGCGGGCGCGGCCTCGGCCCACTTGGCCAACTGCGCGTCGCTCGGCGCGCCGACCTCGTACGCGCCGTCGCCCGTCTCGACGACGCCGCGGGCGAGGGCCGCGTCGCCGCCGACGGTGGGCACCTGCGCGGCGCGGGGGGTCGCGGCGCCGCGGGCGCGAGGGGAGGGCGGGCGCGCGTCGGGGCGTCGCGGCGGCGCGAACGCGCGGCCGCGCGGACGCGGCGGCCGCGCGAGCTCGACGCTCCGGCCGTCGACGGCGCCGCGCAGGCGGCCGTCGGCGGCGTACTCCCAGGGCTCGATCAAGGGCAGCACGGGCGACCCGGCGCCGCCGCACGCGACCCAGCGGCCCCGGAGCGATTCGGGCGATCCGGCGCCGGCGTCGCGCGCGAGGCGCCGCCAGGCGACGTGGGCGCCGCGCGCGGCGCCGCCGGGCGACGCGAACGCGGCCTCGGAGACGCGGTCCAACAGCGCCCAGGACTCGGCCAGCGGCGCCGCGTCCGCCGCCGGCGCGTGGCGGATCGTCACCGTCGGCGCCGACTCCGGCGGCGTCCCGACGGCGCTCGCGCGTCTCGTCGCCGTCGGCCGCGGCCGTCGATGGAGCACCAGCGACGACGCCGTCGAAAGCGTGAGCAGGAGGGCCGCCTTCATCTCGGCGGCGCGAGCTGCTCCAGAGCTCTCGACTTCTTCAATCGACCTTCCTTGCAGTTTTGCCAATTCTTGTTTCCCCCACCATCGATGGACCGCAGCCGCTAGAGGGGCTGCCCCGACGCGCACGGAGCCGAGCACCATGGCCGACGACGGCGCCCCGGCCGACGACGCGGACGACGACGCGGACGTCGCCGCCCAGGTCGCGTCCATGCAGACGGACTGGCACATGGCCGTGTCCGCCTGCGCCTTCCTGTTGGAGCACCTGCCGCGCGTCGGCGAGGCCATGGGCGAGTGCGAGGCCGTCTTCCTCGCCGCGGAGCGCGTCGCCGGCGGCGGCTGCCAGGGCCTGTCGCAGCGGCTCCGCGGGTCGTCGCAGTTCGCGCGGACGACGCGGACCGACGAGCTGCACGACCTGCGCCGGAACCTCGCGCACACGGCGATCCTGCTGAGCCGCTTCGTCAAGTCGTCGCTGCGGGTCCTCGCGCGGGCCGCCGCGAAGGTCGACGGCGCGGCGGACGCGCCGCCGGCGCCCGCGTCGCCGACGAAGACGAAGCGCACGTCCCTCATGCTCACGGAGCTGTTATTCCCGGAGCCCGCGCAGAACCCGCTCGCGCGCGACGCCGCGCCGTCGCCGACGAACCCGCGGAAGCGCACGAGCTCGCTCATGGACGACATGTCGTCCATCGAGGACGCGGCGGCCGCGCTCGTCGCCGAGGCCGAGGACGCGCCCGTCACGGTCGACGACCTCAGCGCGCTCGCCGTCGAGGCCGCGTCCTGCGACTGGAAGCGCGCGCAGGTCGCCGTCGCCTACCTGCTCCACCAGATCCCCGTGATCTCCCTCGCCTTCGACGAGGCGGCCCGGGGCGCGCGGCCCGACGCGCTCACCAAGATCGACGGCGCCGCCGCGAAGATGCGGTGCTCGTCGAAGACGGTCCACGCGTTCGTCGCCAAGCTCATCCGCGTGCTCACGCGCGCGGCGCGCCTCGTCAAATCCGCCGCCGTCTGCAACGACCGGCGGCCGGTCCTCGCGATCCTCTGCCCCTGCCTGTCGACGCGGCCGCCCCTGCTCTAAGCTCGCGCGCCGGCTCCGCACGCGGCGCAGGCGAAGAGGCCGCCGGGCTCGTCGTCGTCGACCCCCCGCGGCGCGATCTCGTCGGGCAGGAACGCGTCGCCGTCGTCGTCGTCGTCGTCGTCGTCGGCGTCGTCGTCGTCGTCGCCGTCGTCGCCGGCGCGGCCCCCGACGCCGATCTCGAGGCCGAGGCGCCGCGGCGCGTCCGCCGGCGGCGGCGGCGGCGGCGCGCCGAGGCCCAGGCTCGTCGCGAAGCGCAGGAGCGCCGACTTGCGGGGCCGCGCCGGCACGTGCTGCTTGACCCAGTCGAGGCCCCGACGCTCGCGGTCGAGGATCGCCTGGAGCTCGCGCACATCCTCGTCCTCGGACACCATGCCCGCGACGACGACGGCGATGAGGCAGAGCGGCGCGACGACGCCGAAGGCGAAGAGCACGCGGCGGCACGTGGCCCGCGTCGCGTCCGAGTCGTCGGAGAGGCCGGCGCCGTGCGCGTGCGTCGCGAAGTAGACGAGCACGACGATCTGCGTCGACGCGCGCGCGAGCCAGTCGTCCTCGGCGTCGACGTAGGGCGCGTGCGCGGAGACCGCGGACGCGTAGACGAAGCTCACGAAGAAGCCGACGGCCGTCTGGATGGACTGGCCCCGCGCGAAGACGGAGATCGCCGCGGAGAGCGCCAGCCGCCGGACCGCGTCGAGGATGTCCCAGAACCAGAACTCGGGCTCGAACTCGCGGTAGAGGAGCTGGTAGGGCGCGATGTCGCCGTGGGCGTCGCGCATCTGCTGCTGCTTGAGCAGCAGCGCGGCCTCGAGCTTGGCCAAAATCCGGCGGCTCGGGATGTCCGCCGCGGCCGCGACCTCGCGCTCGACGAACCGCGTGAGGCCCGCGACGCGGGCGTCGGCCGTGTCGTAGGGCCGCGGGTTCAGGTGGCGCCGGATGCGGAAGAGGAGCAGAAAAAAAAGCAGGGGCACCGCCGGGTAGACGCAGGCGAAGACCGCCGCGTAGATGCGGATGCGGTCGTACTCGGCGCTCGCGCAGGACACGGCGTAGTCGACGGCCAATACCTCCCGAAATTTATCGCCGTCGCCGTAGTCGAAGGACGTGCAGGCGAAGCTGTGGAAGATCATCATCGACACGGACGGGAAGACGACGTAGAGCACCGCGAGCGAGAACGCGATGGGCGTGCCGTGGGCCCGCGCGGCCGCGTCGGCCGGCGCCTCCCGGAGGGCGAGGAGGTGCACGGCCCAGACGACGCCGATGGCGGCGATGGGCCAGAGCGTCGCGACCCAGAGCCGCTGCTCGAAGCCGTAGGTCACGTCGCACCTATCGAGTGTCGTTTCCCCCGTCGGAATCTCGGACGTCGCCGCGGGGACGCCGCGCCGCGCTGGAGCGGGAAGATGTGCGCGAGGCTCACGTGCGTGACGCGGCCGACGCTGTGCATGATGCGGCCGTAGACCGGCGGGTACTTGACGTCGAGCGCGAAGTCCATGTCGCTCAGGAGCTGCGCGAGCGTGAGGACGATCTTGAGCTTGGAGCGCACCTTGTTCCACACGGCGCCGAAGAAGCCCCGCGTCTGGACGTCGATGTCGGCGATGCCCGCCCGGGACCCCTTGGTCTGGACGAAGAGCGCGTTGACGAAGACGTGGACGCGGTAGCACGCGTCGAGGACGGCCCGGCGGTGGCGGTAGGCCGCGGCCGCGAGGAGCAGCGCGACGCCGATCGAGGCCGCGAGGGACGCGCGCAGCGTCGTCGCGGACGTGCCCTCGCAGCGCGCGCAGCCGAGCGTGTCGCCGTCGGACGAGCCGTGGGCCGCGTAGCCCCGTTCGCAGAGCGCGCACGCGGGGCCCCTCGTGTTCCCCGCGCAGAGCGCGTCGCCGCCGCCCGCGCGGCCGCCGGCGCAGTCCTTGGCCTGCGCGCAGACCTCGGTCTTCGTCGACGTCTCGCTCGAGCGCCAGTAGCCGTCGCGCAGCGTCAGCGCCTCGACGGTCGTACCTGTTCGGCGCGAAATAAGCGCGATGATTGACCGCGGGGATCGGGCGGGGAACGTAACGCTTCATAGACGCCGAAGAGGTACCCGCGGGGCAGTCGTCGGACTCGACGCCGTCGACCTCGCCGCAGGAGCGGCACGCGTCGCCGTCGAGGAAGAAGCCCGCGAGGCAGGCCTCGCAGGCCGTCGCGCCGCGCGCGGACCACTGGCCCGCGTCGACGTCGCAG